ATTCTCCCCAAAATGTGGGAGACGGTAGCTCCTGATACGTAAATGCGCTCGAACCAGCTCTTGTTGCTGCCAGATCCCGAAACAAAACTTTTCTGCAGGTGTTGTTTTTCTCAAAGAGATAGGCTCCGGATTAGATAAGGAGACTGGAGATGAATTATCTCATTTTAGGTAGATGCAATGAGCTTGCTTCAGCGTAGATGCCACGTTTTCTAGCTGCTCTCCTTTTTTGGTCTCTCTTTTAGCCCACTTCTAGGTGTGATCCTGCTCCTTCACCTCCACCGCTGATTCAGCAGGCGGGGGGTGGAAAAAAAAAAAAACCCCGGCGGTCTGCAGTTGGCGCGCAGAGGTCGCAGTGGGCGTTCGTGTTGGATCTGTCACGTCAGCCCGAGGAGCACGAGGCCAGGTCACCCCTGGGAACGCTGCCTTCGTCACGCAGGGAGGATGGCCTTGTAATTAGGGTGCTGGATTCTCTGGTAGCCTGAGGGGAGCCATTTGGGTTTTCCATGAGTCAGTCCTGGTCTTCGGGCTGGGAGGAGCGCCGTCGCTGTTCCTTCCTATTGCCCTGACCTATTTAGGCGGTTCCTGTTAGAGAAACGACGGTGGTGTACCAAACGTGCGCCTTCGTGCGCAGGTTCCCGATCTCTGCCGGGACAAAGAGATGATCTGTAGCCAGACCAGCTGCGCCCCGCAAGAGCCGTGGGGTTGGATGCAGCGGAAGCGGCTTGGTGCCGGCGGACTTCGTCAGGCGTGCAGAGGAGCTGTCGCCCACCCCGCTGCGCGAGCGGAGGTTGCAGGAAGATCCCGCGTTCCCTTGAATCCGGTTATCTCCCTCGTAGAGCTCTCAAGGGCTTGCTCCTAATAACCACGTGCAGAGAAATACGCTGTTTTAAATACTTCTAGGGGGCCCCTTGGCCTTTCCACCGCCTTGACAGGAGCAAAACATTTGGAGAAAGGTTTGGAGAAGGCGGTTTCTTTCGAGATGACTTCTCTTGCGTAACTGGAAATCTGTACAAATTACTCCGCCTCCCGGGCCGGGGATGTGCGCGGCACGGCGTGGCCGCGCGCTGCGAACAGAAATGCCTCCCCAAGGTGTGTCCCCTCCGAATCGGACCTGGCTCGGCGAGGGGTTGCGCAACCTCCCAAGTGCTGACCAGAGGTGCCAACTCCTGACTCCCCCGCCCATTGCAAAGAGCAGCAAATTCTCCAGGAGCAACGGGAAATGGATTTTTTTTTTTTTTTTTTTTTTAAAAAAA